ATTGGCATACTTTTCATTATTCATCTTGATACGATTACGCAACTCACTCAAAGACATTATTTTTTCGTCATTTCTCAGAATCATATAACCGCTACTGAGATGAATGAGAAGGTCTTACATGCATATTCTAAAGAAGACTACTACTAATTCAATGTACAATGGTTTCTCGAACGATGGAGTATATCGCTAAATGTTTTGAAACAATCTAAAACAAATATTGTTCATTTCGAATGATGAAACCGTTAAACAGCGAAGAATGCGGTTAATGGGTGTGGGTGTGGGTGTGGGTGTGGGTGCTAATCTTCCCTTCATTCATACCCACACTCACACCCACACCCCGCACCCTCAATAGGTTAATAATATAAAAACGAGATTACATTTATACATACATTGCATGGTAAGAAAATGGAAATAGTTTATTAAATTTCAACAATCGCTCCTTATCAAAAGAGATGTACAGTACTTTCCTTTTGAATACCATAATTCGAAAAAACACGGTTATCTTCAATTTGTTTGCCTACAAAAATAATACTTTGTTTTTTCGGTGCTATAGCAGTACGTTCGTAGATAGCCTGTTTGACTTGAGCGATTGTGCCATAATAGAAAATGTCTAAATCAAACACTTCAGTCTTATCATCAGCGATATGAATCGAAAGAAAAACATGGTATCTTTGACGAGAAATTCAAGAAAAAATCACCATCTATAGAGTACTTCCATCTTTGATCCTATCGTAGGACGCAAGTGTACAATTATCCTCAAGTATTCGGCCTTCGAAACTTAAACATTGACCATTTGCAGTTACTTTAGTATGACGTTCAATTTTTTCTTTGCACTTATTTGATAATGAAAGACGGATCAATATCAAGCAAGAATGGTTTATTTAAATTATTGAGTTGATAAGAATCTATTTTTGTTCTGATATGTTCGATGAGAATATGCATTTCTAAACACATGGCAGAATAAATCGTTGTTAACAAGAGTCATTGAACAAAACTCATAGTAAGGCATTCATGATAAGTGATTTATGATTCAGTCAGATTGAACTCAATAGAATCTGCAATATGATCTTTTTTGATGATTAATTATTTTTAAGATACTTATCAGAAGTTTGTATCTGGAACATGGGTTGTCACAAAGTCAAATACATACATGTTCTTCATGGCGAAGTACTTGAGAATCTTAGTTTTAGTCAATTTTTCAATATTTTTCAGTGCGTTTCTATCGTCTACTGCTTTTGAACACTATCAAACACTATGATACAATCGAACAATGATTATATCAAAACTAGACTTCAAATATATTATTTGATTGCATTTTTTTTGTTAATAATCTAAAATTACATTAATTTGAAATCAAATTCAATTCTCTCTTTAAGAAGAATGACGATATGAGGATCATCTTCTACAATGTTTGACGAATTTCTTGACTAAAACGAGTTCTACCTTTTTCACAATAAATAGATCATAATAAGAAGAATCAATGTTGCTTTCATGAATGTACAAAATCTAAAAATAAAGTTCCCATACTTAGCATTATTTTGATGACCATATGAGTTCAGGCAAAATTCGTCTCTTTGTCTTTTTAAAAAATTCAACTTTCGTCTCTTGACACAGTCAAAATATTAAACTTACAACCAAAAATCATTTATTTACATGTGCTTTCCTATTGAGATACATTTAGTAAAAAGTCATACAACATTTTCTGTATCTACGTACTTTATTCTGATTAAAGTTATCTTCAAAAAAAAAAATATGTTGCCTGAATGGTTGAATTATGTAGAACAAAAGTTTAGAAAATTCGGGGAAGTGTATTTTTTAGTATTCTTCTTTTTTACAATTATAAATGATCGAATTTGTCTGTTAATCGCGAAGTATATCTTGACAACTAAAATATATGCTTTTAGCACTTTAAAAAAATATGAGACATTGTTTTAACCGTGACATTCGAATAAGAATATTGGGCTAAACTATTTTCAAGTTGAATACTTCGAAGTTGAGTAAATTAACATTTAATCTCATTCTCTACTAGAAGCTCTAATTTTTGTTCAGAATAGTGACTTCTGAGACTTTTATATGAGTAATTAGTTCAAGTTTTCTAGTTCTGAAAGCAATATAATTCACTTGTTTCATGATTGTATCCGACGAGTTTACAGAAATTGTCCTAAAAACTTATAATCCGACAGATAGTTTGTGAATCAAGATTTATTAAAATCCTTAAGCGTTCCTAGAGGTTTTCACCATGCGGTCGAACGAAAAAGGAAATAATAATAATAGTTGCGACAAATGAAAATTATTGACTTTCATATATCAGTATATTGAAATTAATAGATGTCATTGTACAAAATGAGCTAGATAAAGAAATCTATCACATTATTGAAACAAATTCTACTGACATAGTGAATAGAATTATCGGGGAATCTTCTGAAAAACTAAATCGTTTTCTGTTCAAAATTGAAATCATTGCGTTAATCATAATAGAAAAATAAAAAGTTTAGAAATTTCATTGTGATAGCTTGATTCATTCGATTATCTCGCATTCTGAGTTTTGAAGTTTGAAGTATTTAAATCAATATTCATATTTCAGAAGTTCAAATTTTACAATAAAACTATCACAGCGAACTAGTTCCATTCCAAACGCGATGGGTAGAATCGGAAATTGAGGAGAAAAATAGCATTATCCTTCAAATTTGATATCTCACATGATCTAAACAGCGAAAGCATTCGAGATTTTTCGCTTACTTACAATGATTAAACGAATAGACATAAAGTCTCAACGATGTCTGAGGTTACGAGAAAAGCCTTACACTAGAATATTTTTTGGATAAGAACACCACCATGGGTCAGAGTTCTTTTCTTGAAATGCTAACCTCTTCTCTCTTGGAAAATTTCAAGGTACACGCCTATTTATTTAAAGTATCCTTTTGCTATTTTGCTTCTGTTGTGAACCCTTTAAGCTTCTTATTCAAATCAATTGGTTTCATTATTCGTCTATTATCAATGTTATATCAATGATAGAATTGTTTTATGCTTATCCACATGTGTTCTTTTACCAAATTAAGAACAGCATATGCAGAATAAAATAAAAATCTTGTTTGACTTACTTGAAAATAAACTAAATAAGTTTTATTTTGTTTTAGTGCCGAATAGTGTAAAAAGTATCCTACAAACGAAGTATATTATTAAAATTGTCAATGCTTTGATTCTGTTTCATAATGTTATGCGTTGAGTAAGAAAAACGAGAAATAGTGCAACACTAACAGTGTATTTTGTGTAATTTCACAACCAATTGAAATGCATTAGTCATAAGCGTTTTTTGATCACAGATAAATTGTTGCTTGCTTAATTATATTAATTTCTTGTGTTTTTCAAAAAAAAACATTCAACTATCGCTGAGACAAAATAAAAATATGTTTACTTTATTATTTTGCATTGTGTGAGCAATGTTGCATTCGTTAGAAAGAATATCGGCTTGACTAAGTCGATACTCTATTTAAAAAAAAATGAATATTTTCAAATGATCAAGTATTTGTTTGCAGTATCACCCGTCGGATAATAATTATTTCATTCAACGTTACTACTATGATAGTCTTTCATGAAAAGTGATCAAGGAAAATAAAACAGAGAACATTACCTATTAGCTTTTCATTTCGAATTGTATTATTAAATTGCGACTATAATTCTACAAAAGTATTGCGTAACATACAGATAAGAGAAAAAGAGATGAAGAAAAAAATGCGCCAACCAGGATTTGAACCTGGGTCTGTTACCTGGCAAGCAACAATGATTACCGCTACACCATTGGCGCTTGTTCTAGTTAGAAAATTTGAAAGATACTGTACGGATAGTCGAAGCAGCTACTTAGTACATTGAGCATAGACTCAGAAACCTATAAAACATCAATTGATTCATTACAACAAAGTTATTTATGGCAGAACAATATTTATATATTGAAATCTTATAGAATTTCGACTGTGCATAAAAAGTTTGAATGTAATTTTAAAAAAAAAACAGAACAGAGCATGATTCTTTTTACTCTCTCTTTCGAAGTGTATTGCAACACAGACACGAGGAACATATTGCGCAGCATATTGCAAACTAGTTCAGGAAAAAAAAGAAATCAACGCCAACCAGGAGTCGAATGACGCTGTTCAAATATTAGACAGAATCTGTCAATACAAAAGTAAAAGTATGGCAAATTTGAATACGCAGTTGAAGAAACATTCTCACCTGGATCTTTTGCTTATGAGACAAATGTGTTAACCGCTACACCATTGACGTCTGTTATGATTCGTTGACAGCTATTTCAACTTTTGTCACTCATGAAAAGTTGGAAAACATATCCTAATAAACTTTCGTTTCAGCTTGGTTAGGTGTGGGTGTGAGTGTCGTGGGGATGTGGGTGTGGGATGTACGTGAAACAAGAGACATACCAGCATCCATACCCTTCTTTTTCTTGAAACACATTATATGTTATTCGTCATGTAAGAAGACGACAGAACGTAAAATATTTCTTCTGCATTCTATGAAAGGGTTAATACTGATCGCACCTTCTTTCTTTTCTTTTATTTCTATTGATCAACCAGGCATGTTGGCAGTTTACTATTACACAATCGATACGTAAAGCGTACACTATGTGAACATGTGTCATTATATATACATCCATTGTATCAATATGTCAATACATGTATCTATAAACAACGTGTTGTATTGACATGAGACTTTTCCTACTCTCACCAACCAAAACATTTTGTATTGACAGTAACAACAATGGGAAAAATAATTTTCTATATAAATTATATTGTGAAGTATGTTGGAGAATAGATAAATAGATGAGTCACAGGACGAAGTGACTCTTGTGAGAATAAATATCACTGTTATTTATTTTATTGCATTAAATAGAGTAATGTTGAAGCAATTCTTTGTAAAACGTTCTATTTAAAGCATCGTTTGTAGGTCATCATAATTATTTCATAAGCGAAAAAGATCCAATCAACGATAAAATGGTACTCGATATCGACTTATTTCGAGCCGACAAAAACTATGATCCACAAGTTGTACGTGATTCACAGAAGAAACGATACAAACATGTCGAATTGGTCGATCAAGTTATTTCTTATGATAAACTCTGGCGTACGGTTCGTTATGAGGCCGATGCATGGAATAAAGTTAAAAATTTATCTAGTCGAACAGTGGCTGCAAAGAAACAAGCAAAAGAAAATGATGGTGATTCTGATGAATTTAACAAAGATTTGACTATTAGTCTTGAAATAATCAATGCAGAATTTTTAGCTAAATTAACAATTAAACAATTAATACGACTGAGTACATTGATCGATACAGAAATTGAAAAAACAAAAGAAAAATTGATCAAAATTGAAAATGAACGAAATATGGCCTTATATGAAATTGGTAATCTTGTTCATGAATCGGTGCCTGTCAGTGATAATGAAGTAAAATATACATTTTGCCATATTTCAACATGTCTTTTTACAATCTTCATTGTAGGATTTCAATAAGATCGAACGAATATTCGGTGATTGTGGAATACGTAAAAAATATTCTCATATTGATCTTATTCATATGATCGATGGTTATGATGGTAAACGAGGAGCATTAGTAGCCGGATCTCGAGGCTATTTTATGAAGGTTTCAAAAGCAAAAAAACCTTTTAAGAATAAAATATTGTTGTTATTTTTTCATTTTTGCTAGGATCCTGCTGTATTTCTCGAACAGGCTATCATTCAATTAGCTTTGCGCGTATTGAATGATAAAGGATTTGAAATACTCTATACACCATTTTTTCTACGTAGAGAAATTATGCAAGAAGTAGCTCAATTAAGTCAGTTGGACAAAGAACTTTATAAAGTACATTATTAAGATTTGATTTCGAACAAAAAATAACTACTTTTTTTTGTCTTTTTATAATTAAGGTTGTATGTAAAAATGATAAGCCTGATGAACCGACCGATGAAGTTAAATATTTGATTGCTACTTCTGAACAAGCTATTGCTGCTTTTCATCGGTTCGTAGGCGTTAATCTTGTAAAAAAAAATATTCAGAAAAGTTAATTTTTACAAACAAATTTCCGAGAATCTGTAATTGATATATTGTAAGATGTGCGTAGTTCAAAAATTGAACAAAACGTTTTTCCAATATTTATCTATATGATTGAATAGAACTCGTTCAGCTCTACAAGACTATTTGTGTTCATATATTCTTTCTTTGATCAAATCTTAAATTTTCTGTATTGAACAAAATGCTCGTCATTTTTAATCAGACTTCCTTATTTTTTCACTATACATATTGTTTGAGAAATTCGAAAGACAATTTTGTTTTTTTCTTTTGAATACAGCATCTACAAACATAGATTAATTCATGTTTATAGATACTATATTCAAAAACAAAAACAGTCTTTCGAATTTCTTAAGCAACATGCATAGTGAAAAAAAAAACAGAAAATCTTATCAAAAATGAAAAGTATTTTGATAAATAGAGAAAATTTGAGATTTTATCACCGAAAGAGTGTATAAACACATATATTCTTGTAGAGCTTGACGAGTTTGATCTAACCATATCTGAATATCGGAAAAAAATTGTTTGTTCGATTTTTGAATTACGGCACACACCTTATTTTAATTCAAAATGCAAAATGTTTGCGTTAGATTTTCTTTAGTTCAAATAGTCTTTTGAAATTTGTTTTTGTAGTGATGAATGGCTTAAACCCAAACAATTGCCAATTCGTTATTGTGGTATTTCTTCATGTTTTCGTCAAAAAGCTGGCTCTGGCGGTCGTGGTACACGTGGTATTTTTCGTGTACATCAATTTGAAAAGGTCAGTATTTTATTCAATTTTTTTAAAAATATGTATATATTAATCGTATTTCAAGATGGAACAAGTTTGCATTACTTCTCCACATGACAATCAATCGTGGCAAATGTTCGAAGAAATGATTGGTAATGCTGAAGAATTTAATAAATTATTAGGTATTCCTTATCGTATTGTCAATATTGTTTCCGGTAAATAGAAAGAAAAGTTTAATAATAGAATAAAAATGATATCTTTTTTTTTAAATCATGAATAGGTGAATTGAATAATGCAGCATCGAAAAAATTTAATTTGGAAGCGTGGTTTCCTGGTTCAGGTAAATTTCGTGAACTTGTCTCCTGTTCAAATTGCCTTAATTATCAATCGCGACGACTTAAAATTCGTTATGGTCAAACGAAAAAACTCAATGAAGGCGTATGTTATTAATTATTTTCTAAAATTCATTTTTCTCTTTCTTTTTTCGATTCTAGGTAGAATATGTTCACATGCTCAATGCGACAATGTGTGCAACGACACGAACAATCTGTGCTATCCTTGAAAATTATCAAACTGAAGACGGTATTCTCATACCAGAGATTCTCAAACCATTTATGCCCAAGAGTTTGTTTCTCTTATTTTCTTTATATTTTCAATTTTTAGTGATTTTTTTTTTCTTATCTTTTAGAGTATTCCGACAAGATTCCATTCGTCAAACTGGTACCAATCGACCAAGAAGCCAAAGCAACAGATGCATCCAAAAAATTCAATCAATAATAAAAGATATTTTTTCTCATAAGAATTCTCTTAATGTCAATTGATACTATAACTTTTTTTCTGATAAATTCTTGGAATTATAATTTATTTCCTAGGAGAAAAAACTTCTTCTAAAAAAATTTACTTTTTTTCATAAAAAGCGATAAATAACTTGACGATAACGTTCTGGAAGTAGGTCATATCCTATAAATTCATAAGCTTGTCTCAATAAATCACAAAAATGAATAATTTTCGTTCGTTTACTATTTAAGTCAAACTGATCATTAACAAAAAAATATCTTTTAAATTTTGATCAATATTTAAAAATACATCTTTATCTGTTAATATGTCAAGTAATTCACCAAAAACAAAGATTTGTAGTTTTATTATAATAAATATACTGTAAAAAAGATACTCAAAATTGATTTTTTACAAATATCTAATTTAAAAAATTCTTTATTTTCTCAGGAATCCAAAATTAACTTTCTCAGTGATTTTCTTTTTCTTTTAGATTTATTAAAATCTTGTCGAGCCATATTCCTTTATACATTCATGTAATATTCAGCTTGACCTATAAAAACAAATATCAAAATTACATTCAATTATTTCAGATAAAAGATTAAATAGAACTGATGATAAATTATTTATTCCAAAATAGTTTCATTCGTAAATTGATTAAATATCGATTTTACAGTATTTTTGGCATAATTAATAAAATCATAGGTATTACTAGAAATTTACCTTTTCTTCTGAATTCTATTTCAGCTGTTCTCTTTTTTTATGTTTAATACGTAACATTTTACATTAATGGACGTACGATCATATTGCATATGCGTAGCTTTAGTAATACTTTCTACTTGTTTTACATTTCTTTCATTTTTCTGAATTAGCCCACTTTTATCATAAAATTTTATGTTCTCAAGAATAATATTTCGAATTCTAATAGATCTTAAATTTATTCCATCTTTAATCCAAAACCAATTCTCTTCAAAATAACTGATCTATTCATTAGAATTTCCAGTTTTGACAAGTACGACTATATTTTCGGGAATTTCTAGTAAACTATTTTGTTGAATGCCCGATCTTAAATATAGATCGCAAATTGAATCTCAAAGATATGTTGCTTCTTTTACAATATTCATCTTATCAGTTATTTGCTATTCTTAACTAAATTGTTGGTATATGCCATATGATAGTAAATATATATTAAGAGATAAAGATTAAATAAAACGATAATAATTGGAAACGAGGACGAATTGTGATAAAGAAAGAGATTTTAATTTATAAAAATCCATCATTACGTCCTAACTTAATTCTTGTTAATATTGAAAGTAAAGAAACAGAAAAGAAATCTTCTCTTCAAGATATAAGATGTAAAAATGATGATGAATATAGTAGTATTGATGAAAATAATATTGTTGATATAGTATATTTGCCTGAAATTTCAATGATTAAAAGGAAAGAAGATCAATTTTATTAACATCTTTTATCGATCAGTAACAAAATTTATTATAGTACAATTAACGAGAAATTACGTGAAGGATAAAGTACATCTAATATTAATGATGAAGAAGAATATTATACTACATATAGACTTTATTTTCATTTATTAAGGATTTTTTAAGAAGAATGTATGAATGTTTGTTGAAATATTTTTGAATAGAAGTTCGTAGCAAGATTGATAGATGTACTACTGCCATAGATTTCTTTGAACTAATTGTTGAACACAAAGTCGATATAAAAGAAGAATTCTTTCGTAAAATGCATTACGAAAAAATTTACTTGAGACAATCGACACATAAAAAGATGTGGCAAAACTGAACAAATACAAAGAACCACCAAGTTGTTGAGCAAACAAAATTGCAGCACGTTCATTGGCTGTTTGAGTCGTGATAACACTGCTGATAATCAAGTAACTATACGAAGCAAGACGCAATAGACCAAGCAATATGCTTAAAACTACTTGTATTATAATGATCTAAATTTTGAAAAAAGATCAATAATTAATTTAATTATTCATGAAGAACAGAAGTTCTAATTAGGATGAAAACATCGGCATACCTTAAGAAGTTTCGATTCGAAACGTTGTACTCCACGGCGATTCGATCCATGACTGATTGCAGCTACTACTCGTTGTTGTACTTTTCTGACAGCTGAGAGAATCATGAAGCAAAAGATCAACATAAGAAGATGAGGCAAAAGTGTGATGATGATAATCAAATAGCCTGCAAAAATAAACGTATATATACTTCCTGGTTTAATTTGACACGTATTGTTATAAATATCATAAAAGATGGGTATATGTATTGAGATTACAAAGACACCTATCAATGTACCAAATGATATTCGTTTTGCAATTTTAATTTGAATCCACGCACGTATTCTAACATTGTTTGATGCAGACAAGTATCGATCGAGAGTAGCCAAAAGCAAATAATAGGAGGCAAGTGCAGGTAATATTACAACAAAATAATAGCGCAATTTACAAAATAGACTCACGTGAGCAAATAAATTAAATCTAGATCGATCCGCAGTCAAACGTATTACAACACAGAATAAAATAGTGAATAGTTGAAATATTGACGCACATAATAAATAGAATATAGATGAAGATTGATGCAATTGTCGACCAGTAAGTGTAATTAAATTACAAATACCACCGATTATACCAAAAATCAAACTGACATAGTCGATATACAATATGATGTCAGAGATGAGTTGCGATAATGTTACCGAATAGCTACTGTTAGCCGACATGTGTATATTTTTGTTTTATGGTTTTGTATGGAAAAAAGAGAGGAAAACGTTGTTTAAGTTGCTTCTTCTTTGTGTTTTTAAATAGTAAGTTTACGCAGTAAAAATGAATGTCTTCATTATCTTATGAATTAATTATTCTACATTGATGTGCTCTATTATTTTAAAAAGATGCAAGAAATGTTTGATGTTAAATCGACCATGACAAAAAAGAAAGTATACAAAAGAAGTATTTGAGCATGATCTATTCTACATGAAAGAAATATGTGAAACGAATATAATCAATTGTAATATCTACGAAAGACAAAACTATTTTCTGCCAACATAATTATCTTTCCTTTAATAATCTTGTGAATAAGGGCGTACTATTTGCTCCAGCGATTTTTATCAAAATGTTTAATGGTGACATGAAGAAGTTGTTTGTATTATATCTAATTTTGTCTTATTTTTATATTTTGTTTAGATATTGAGATTAGTGTTCAGACATAGTTGGTTATTCTTGAATCGATTGTTGTGGAATAAAATACGATGAAAAAGTAATGGCACAAAATTTTGACCCTTATTTTTTAGGGAACTCACTATAAAAGAACAGTGAGTGTAAGTTATATCCGAAAATTTTCTGCTCCTTTCCCCTCCCCTACAGACACTAATGGTTTTTAAAACCTGTAGAAAGTATGAAAAACCGAAGGTTGTTAGAAGGGTGTGGGTGTGGGTGTGAGTGTGGTGTGTACTAAGAGAATACCAACACCCACACACCCACGCCCACACACCCACACCCACACCCACCCACACCCACACCCCACACCCACACCCACACCCACCCACACCCACCCACACCCACACCCACACCCCACCCACACCCACACCCCACACTCCACACCCTCCTGACGATGTATACATGAATTGTATAGGAAAGCTTGAGTCTTTTTTTTCCGTATGAAATAAAAATCATGATATTTGCTGCAGTTATCTCTTTCTTTTTAAGTTATCTATTTCCTACTGCACTTTCGCCTAAATTTATTCAATAGGATTATCCCGAACAATTCCTAATGGGCCGATTTGACCTCTTATGCGCCCCCATCCTTTTTGTATTTTAGAATAATATTTCTTATTATCTTCCCTATTTTTATTTATCAATAAATAAGAATAACAAGGCTTTATTTCATTCTTATTCTTGGAAACATATACACGATGATCAGTTTTCAATAATCTATGTGACCAAATCAATTATGAAAAGAGAAATATTTTTCGTTAAATATCAAGTAAGACAATAAATGTAATAGATACTTAAGTTGAACTGGCGTTGAAATGAAATGAGCAAATATTTTTGTACGTACTTTATTTAGGTTCATTGATTGTACTAACGAGGGAACGTTCCCAAGTGATTAAAAGCTTTTGAGCTCATATGTTACCCATTAGGTAGAGGACCACTAGATTAGAGAAACCTCCAAAGGATTCGCGCCCATATTGTGACTTGACAGAGATATCGATTTTTTAGTGGATTTTTCCTGCTGGACCCTAGTTCTACAGCAAAATCATATTTTCGAATTTCGATCTGAAACTTTGCCCAAATGAAGGCCTCGATCAGAGTAGCTTGTATAAAAAACTTCAGAATTTTTGGACATTGCATCTCCAAGGTATCAATCTTTCATAGTATCCATGTTATCTATAGAAAAGTGCCTATTTTTTCAAAAATTGATACCTTGGAAATGCAATGTCCAAAAATTCTGAAATTTTCTATATAAGCTACTCTAATCGAAGCCTTCATTTGGGCAAAGTTTCAGGTCGAAATTCGAAAATATGATTTTGCTGTAGAACTAGGGTCCGGTAGGAAAAATCCACTAAAAATTCGATATCTCTGTCAAATCTCAATATGGGCACGAATACTTTGAAGGTTTCTCTAAACTAGTGGTTCCCTACCTAATGGATAACCTATGAGCTCAAAAGCTTTTAATCACTTGGGAACGTTCCCTCGTAAGAACTTCCTAAAAAAGCTTAATTTCTTGTTGTAAGTTAATTTATTTATATATTTCAAGTAAAAAAAAAAACTTATTCTAAAGAATATTTTTTCAAGACAAAATAAATAAATATAAATGATACTTTATATAACATAATTATTTGTTTGATTTTTACAAAGAGTATTAAATATATTTCATGAAAACAAAAAAAAAAATATTTCATTACAGTTAATCTTCGCCCAAAACATATGTGTTGGAATGAAGACAGAGACGACTCTTGATAAGATTCTGATAGTTTATTTGATCATA